GCCCCTGGACCACGCGTCTCTGGTCAAGAGCTGGCCCGAGGAGGTGTCCCGAGGAGGCCGGAGCCGGGCTGGAGGCCGATGCCGCTCCACCGAGGAAGAGGAGGCTGAGCCAGGGACAGAAGTGGACCTGGCTGTGCTGGCCGACCTGGCTCTGACCCCAGCCCGACGCGGGCTGCCTGCCGTGCCCACTGGCGATGACTCAGAGGCCACAGAGACATTGGACGAGGTGGACCGCCCGGGCCCCCTGCTCAGCCACATCCTCCTGGAGCACAACTACGCCCTGGCCGTCAAGCCGCCACCCTCCACGCCGGCCCCTCGGCCCCTGGAGCCAGTTCCTGCCCCTGCAGCCCTCTTCAGCTCCCCGGCAGATGAGGTCCTGGAGGCCCCTGAGGTGGTGGTGGCTGAGGCAGAGGAGCCAAAGCAGCAGCAGCAGCAGCAAGAGGATGGGGAGGAGGAGGAGGAGGAGTCGGAGTCATCGGAGAGCAGCAGCAGCAGCAGCAGCAGCGACGGCGAGGGGGCCACCCGGCGGCGCAGCCTCCGCTCCCACACCCGGCCCCGGCGGCCGCCCCCGCCGCCCCCTCCCCCGCCCCCCCCCACCTTCGAGCCCCGCAGCGAGTTTGAGCAGATGACCATCCTGTATGACATTTGGAACTCGGGCCTGGACTTGGAGGACATGGGCTACCTGCGGCTCACATACGAGCGGCTGCTGCAGCAGACTAGTGGGGCTGACTGGCTTAACGACACCCACTGGGTCCATCACACCAATATCCTGAGCCCCGGAGGCTGGCCTTCTCAGGACAGGGAGGCAGGCCCGGGGGGGCGGGGGGGGCTTCCCTGCCGTCGCTCAGCCAGGCACTGTCCTCCTGAGATTGTTCCTAGGTTCTGCACTGGCCTCCTTCCCTGTCCAGTTCTCTGCCACGTTCAGCTTAGGTATTTATTTCTCCCCTGGCTACCAAGCCACCATTGCTCTCTGTTTCGTGCCTCTTTTCTGCCTCCCAGAGATTTTGTGGCAGGAAAGGTGGGGTCTAAGACTTACTTCTCTCCACCTCTCTGTCCTCACACTGAGTATGCTCAGGATCTCCAGCTAAGGTCAGTCGCCCTTTCCTTGGGCTGGGACTGCGGGGGAGAGAGGAGCGGAGCCCCAGGGATCTGGCTGGTGAGGACCCCGTTCTCTTCCTTAACACCCTGCACTCACCAACCTGAGCACTCCGAAACGCAAGCGGCGGCCCCAGGATGGGCCCCGCGAGCACCAAACAGGCTCGGCCCGCAGCGAAGGCTACTACCCCATCAGCAAGAAGGAGAAGGACAGGTACCTGGACGTGTGCCCCGTCTCGGCCCGGCAGCTGGAGGGAGCGGACACTCAGGTGAGGCTCTGCCCTGGTACCTGCCCACTGGTGGCATCTTCTTCCCATTAGTTCTCCTGTCACTTACCTCCTCCCTGGCCTGCACCTCACAGGGGACTAACCGTGTGCTTTCGGAGCGCCGTTCTGAGCAGCGTCGGCTCCTGAGCGCCATCGGCACCTCCGCCATCATGGACAGTGACCTGCTGAAGTTAAACCAGCTCAAGGTGAGGAGTGGGGACTGAGGAGGGAAGGGGCGCCACTGGAAGACAGCGTTGTGGAGCCTCCTAGGGGTGGGCCGGCGGCGAGTGGCCAGAACACCCTCCTGCCCAGGAGGTCTGAGGAGAGGCAAGCAGCAGCTAGGTTGAGGGGGACGTCCAGCAGCGCAGTCTGCCTTCCGCCCTCTAGTTCCGGAAGAAGAAGCTCCGATTCGGCCGGAGCCGGATCCACGAGTGGGGTCTCTTTGCCATGGAACCCATCGCAGCTGACGAGATGGTCATCGAATACGTGGGTCAGAACATCCGCCAGGTGAGGCCCCACGCCCAGCCCCTGCCTGACCTGACGGCAGCCCGGGATGCCAACATGAGAACCACCTGGCCCTCGGTGTCCCTCCTGGCTCTGAGACTTAGCCACTGAAACCTGCTTTTCTTTTTTTTCCCTTCCTTCCTTCAACAACTATTAATGGGTACTAGTAAACTAGATGTTAATGATCCAGCAAGAAACATAAGGATGGTGTTGGGTTGATACGAAAGGCGGTGTTCAGGGAGGCGGGAGCACAGTGATGTCTAAACCAGGGGCTGAAGGATGCTGAGCAACTCCCAGGTCCGGGTGAGGGAGGGTGCCCTCCACTGTAGGACGGCACATGCAAAGGTCTGGATGCAGGATGGTCTTAGGGCAAGGAGGTCAGTATGGCCACTTGGAAAAACTAGGGCCAGTGGCAGCAACGTGAGGCTGGAGGGGGCCGGGGGGGGGCGGGCCGGACGCTGCGGAGCTTGGGAGCCACGTTAAAGAGTTTGGACCGATGGTGAGAAGAGAAAAGTTGCTGCAAAGCGTTAAGCAGGAGAGGACTTTGGAGGTTAGCAAGCTCCATCTGACTGCAGCGTGCAGAGAGAATTGGAGGCTGAGACGGCAGGGTGGGGCTGTTGCAGAGATCCTGGCCGAAGGCAGGGGTGGCTTGGACTAGGCAGTGGGTCCAAGGTAGCTGGCAGGACCAGGCAACGAGTTGGTTCTGGGGAATGAGGGCGAGGGCCGAGGCGAGATGGTTTCTTGGTGCTGCCTTTAGCAGCTGGGAGTAGGTAGGGCTGCCAGTGAGATAGGGAGCGAGGAGGAGCGGATGTGTGGTCAAGATGAGCTCCTGTCAGGACATGTGAAGTTGCAGTGACCAGGGGACATCTACCGGGTGTCGCCCAGCAGTTCCACTGAGGTGGATTTGGCTGGAGATGGAAGTTTGGGAGGAGTTCCCGCCACTTAGCTGGCAGTTGAAGCCCTGGAAGAGAGTGAGTTCACCCAAGGGGAGTGTGCAGAGGGTTTATCGTCCTGTTTTCTCTGAAATGAGGTCCTCCCTCTACCCAAGAATGTGGGCCCTGGCGTGGACAGCAGCAGCTGTGGGTGCCTGTTTTCGAGAGGGTCCTGGGAGAAGGAATGAGTAGGATTCAGTCCGTGAAACGACCACTGTCATCTCAGGAACAGACCCAGTCCCCACGGGCTCTCCTGTGGGCCAGGCAGACACTCCAGGAGGAGACAGTGACCGCTTCTCCTGCCCAGTGGCCAGTGCAGACTTCCCTGGGGTCCTGTGGGTGACTGTCATAACAGCAGCCAAAGGTATTGGGAGGTGGGGGTCCTGGAAGCAGTCAGGAGTCAGCGCCTTGGGGTAGCGGGTGCCAGAGGGAGAGCTGTGGATCCAGGACAGGCCAGTGAGGCTCCCAGTGTGGCAGCTGGGAGACTGTCCGGACCCCCCATCACAGGGGCTGGTGGGGTCAGGCCTAGCCCGGCAGGAAGCTGAGGGGAAGCCCCCTGACCATCGCACCCTGTCCTCTATTAGATGGTGGCCGACATGCGGGAGAAGCGCTACGTGCAAGAGGGCATTGGCAGCAGCTACCTGTTCCGGGTGGACCACGACACCATCATCGACGCCACCAAGTGTGGCAACCTGGCGAGGTTCATCAATCACTGCTGCACGGTGCGCAGGGGGCCGGGTTGTGGGGGAGTGGACGGGGCAGGAGCCAAGAGGGCGGCGTGACTCACGCTGCCCTCTTCCTGTAGCCCAACTGCTATGCCAAGGTGATCACCATTGAGTCCCAGAAGAAGATCGTGATCTACTCCAAGCAGCCCATCGGCGTGGATGAGGAGATCACCTATGACTACAAGTTCCCGCTGGAGGACAACAAGATCCCTTGTCTGTGTGGCACCGAGAGCTGCCGCGGCTCCCTCAACTGAGGTGGGGCAGGACTGGTGCCCTCACCCCTATTTATTCCCCTTGGTGCCCTGAGCTCCCAGCCCACCCAGCCTTAGTGGGCTCAGCAGGGCCCACACGCCCCATCTCCAAATGTGGGGTTGGGGGGCCCCGAGCCTAGCGAGGGAGCCTCAGTCCCTTGAGGCAACTTCCGCTTCCCTTGCCCCTGCCCACCCAGCCCGATTTTTTTTCTTTGCGGAGAAGAAGCTGTAAATGTTTTGTAGCTGCCAGCAGCTGTTTCCTGTGGAAACCTGGGGTGCCGGCCTGTACAGATCCTGTCCTCGGGGGGACTGCGTAGCCCCCTTGCTTTGTGTTAATGGGGACTTCCCCTCTGTGCCCTGCGTGCACCCCTCCCCAGTTTAGGGGTCTCTAGGGGCAGTGGCCATGTTCTCCCCCTGGAGGGGGGCCCTGCGCCCCCAGTCCTGGGGACTCTGTGCCTGGAACCCTGCCTCGTCTTCTGTTCCTGCCAGACCCTGTGGGTCACCCTCCCACCCTGGTGTCTGGAAGCTCTGGCTTCGCCAGGCCAGGATGGTGGGGGGGCGGGCCCTTCCTGTTGGGCTGGACTGTACATATGTTAATAGCGCGAACCCAACGCCACATTTTTATAATTGTGATTAAACTTTATTGTACAAAAGGGCTTTGTCAGTATCTTTGGGGAAGAGCAGGGTGGGATGAGGGTTGAGGACAGAGGGTGGGGCAGGTGAAGACAGGGAAATAGGTGGCCTGATGTTTGGGGTGGGTAGAGGGGCTTTCGGGCAAGATCCCAGACCTGCAGACTCAGCCACCATCACTCTGGGCCAGCAGACAGGCTGCAAGAGCCATCCAGAAATCCCCCGCCAAGGCCAGCCAGAGTGGGGCCAAGGTCAGGCCTCCCTTCCCTTCCCAGAACCACAGCTGCTGCTGGGCTTCTGGCCTCCTGGGAAATCCAGCAAGAGGGAAAGGCTGATATCATGCACCGGGAGTGAGGTCACCCTGCCTGCTCCATTCTGTGGCTGAAACCCCCTACTCAGCACCCACCTGGCAGGCTCTGGCTCCCCCACCCCTCTTGCCCAAGTTTTGCTGGAACCAGATGCCAGTGCAGCCCAGAGCGGCCACCAGAGGGTGCCCTGTGGCAAGAGTGTGGGGGGCGGAGAGGTGGAGGCTGGGCTGGTCTCTGTTGCTGGAATGGGCCGGGAGGGAGGAGGAGCAAGCGGAAGGGGACGGTGTGTCGCTGGCCCAGGAGCCTGCAGAAGACGGCCTCCGGTGGCCGGTTTGGGTGGCCTGGGGCTGTGGCTGCAGGTAGGCAGTGGTGATGCCGGGGCCCGGGGGTCCCTTCCCCCAAACCCAGCTCTCTTCGCCTTCCTCTACCCTGCCTCCCCAGCTCCCTGCCAACCACCCTTCGTTTTCTGTCCCAGAACCTCTCCCTCCAACTCAAACCCTGACCCCTTCCTGCAGGCCAAGCCCTCCCCCTTATCTCGGTAACTGCAGCCAGCAGGGCCAGAGGGCAGGTAGCCTGGCCACTGCACCGACAGCTACAGCCTCCAGAAACAGCTCTGGCCCCTGGGTCACTGCTCCAGGCCACTCAGCCAGGGGCCCCTCCTAGGAGTCACGGGACCGCTGGTGCTGGGGCGGTGGGTGGCTGACAACCCAGGTGCGCCAGTGTCTCTTTCCCCAGCCAGGCATGGCAGACTCTGCACAAGCCCAGAAGCTGGTGTACCTGGTCACTGGTGGCTGTGGCTTCCTGGGGGAACATGTGGTCCGCATGCTGCTGCAGCAGGAACCCCAGCTCCGTGAGCTGCGCATCTTTGACCTACACCTGGGTCCCTGGCTGGAGGAGCTGAAGACAGGTGACTGGTGGGGACGGGGTGGGGGTGGGGGCGGGGGAGGGTGTGGACTCCCTTCCTTGTGGAAAAGATGATGCCTGTTATGTTCTCCATTGCGAATGGATAGGATGAATGAGTCACACTGGGAAAGTGTGGCTCCCAAGGGTGTGGGCCGAATCCAGCAGCTGGCTGACGGCCTCAGCTCTGACATTGCTTCTGGCTGCCCCTACCCACTCCCAGGGCCCGTGCAGGTGACTGCCATCCAGGGGGACGTGACCCAGGCCCACGAGGTGGCAGCAGCTGTGGCCGGAGCCCACGTGGTCATCCACACAGCTGGGCTGGTGGACGTGTTTGGAAAAACCAGTCCTGAGACCATCCATGAGGTCAACGTGCAGGGTGAGATGCTCCCTACCTGTTCTGACAATGTCCTCAATACTCCCTGGCACATGGCCTGATCTTGGTTGCTTGTTTCCTGCCCCCCTCTTTGACCTTGACCTCTGTGATTCTCCTGTGACAATCTGTCCTGTGGACACTTCTGCCCCTGTCATGGCAGGCCAGCCTTCACTGACCCGCTGTGGTTCTCCCTGGGCCTGGGGAAAGAAGGCGCGTGCCCTCATCCAGCTTTGTGATGGGGAGGGAAAGACGCAGAGGGGGAGGAAGCTTCAGCTTCGGTACACTCCCGCCTTCCCCCAGGCACGCGGAATGTGATTGAGGCTTGTGTGCAGACTGGAACACGCTTCCTGGTCTACACAAGCAGCATGGAAGTTGTGGGTCCCAACATCAAAGGCCAGCCCTTTTACAGGTGAGCTGAGGTTCCCCTAATACTTCAAGGGCCCCATCTCCCCTCAGCATTAAGAATCTTCCCTCTCCCCCGACTAGGGGCAATGAGAATACCCCATACGAAGCAGTACACAGACACCCCTATCCTTGCAGCAAGGCCCTAGCTGAGCAGCTCGTCCTGGAAGCCAATGGGAGGAAGGTGAGCCTGGAGAAGATGAGATGCGGGAGACGGGGGTGGAAAGGGCTGCCAGGCAGAGGCAGAGCCAGGGCCTGGGGGCTCCTCTTTTTCTTTCCCCTTTTGGCCGCACTGCATGGCATGCGGGATCTTAGTTCCCCCACCAGGGGGTCGAACCCCAGCCCCCTGCGGTGGAAGGGCAGAGTCTTAAGCACTGGACCACCAGGGCAGCCCCTGGTTTTTTGTTTGTTCGTTTCTTACTGTGGGCTCCTTTGCATCCTGCCCTGGATTCCTTCCATCTCCAGCTTGAGGAGATCAGGGCAGAGGGCAAACCACTGGGTCCTAGGTCTTAGCAGGGCCTTGCCTTTTGCCCCCAGGTCCTCGGGGGATTGCCCCTCGTGACATGTGCCCTGCGTCCCACCGGTATCTACGGCGAAGGCCACCAGATCATGAGGGACTTCTACCACCAGGGCCTGCGCCTGGGGGGTCGGCTCTTCCGGGCCATTCCAGCCTCTGTGGAGCATGGCCGGGTCTACGTGGGTGAGGCCCGGGCTAGGCGTTGGGGGAGGCTAAAAGAACAGGGCAGGACCCACATGGTTCTGGGGCAAGGGGGTGTTCTATACTCTGGCTAAAAAAGGATGGTCTATACATGGGCCAGAGCAGACTATGATATGTGGGCATCGTCTGCAGGGGCCACAGACAAAACAGTGTCCATGCCAGTTGGGAAGGCTGAGATCGATACCGTGTCATAGGCTGAGGAAAGGGTTGCAGTTTTGTGAGCAGCATCTTCCCAGGAGAGGAGAGGGGGAGCATCTACCCAGGACTGACAGGAGAAGGAATAACATCCATATAGGCTGGCCTGGGAGAGTAAATGGCTACAGGGGCCTGGAAGAAAGCAGCCTTCAGCAGGGCTGTAGTTATGTGGGCAGCATCTACATGGGCCCAAGGACAGGGTGGCTTGTCCATGCCCTGGCCCAGAAGAGAGCAGTATCTACATGGTTGCAAGGGCATTCAAGGACATATCCGCCCCCGGTTCTCTCCTCGGCACCCCCTCTCCCCTGCTACCCACAGGTAACGTGGCCTGGATGCACGTGCTGGTGGCCCGGGAGCTAGAGCACCGAGCTGCACTCATGGGTGGCCAGGTGTACTTCTGCTATGACAACTCACCCTACAAGAGCTATGAGGACTTCAACATGGAGTTCCTGGGCCCCTGTGGACTCCGGCTGGTGGGCACCCGCCCACTGTTGCCCTACTGGCTGCTGTTGTTTCTGGCTGCCCTCAATGTCCTGCTGCAGTGGCTGCTGAGGCCGCTGCTGCTCTATGCGCCCCTGCTCAACCCCTACACGCTGGCTATGGCCAACACCACCTTCACCGTCAGCACCGACAAGGCTCGGCGCCATTTTGGCTATGAGCCCCTGTTCTCCTGGGAGGAGAGCAGGACCCGCACCATCCGCTGGGTGCAGGCCGTGGAGGGCTCAGCCCGGTGATGGTGGAGCTGGGCCTGGAGGCCAGCATGGCACAGCCATCCAGGTCCAGAGCCCTCAGACCCTGGTGGGGAGGGAAGGCTGCATTCTAGAGCCGGAGGAGGAGGGGTCTGGTGCCAGACTGGCTGTCCTGTAGCTCTCCACATTGTTAATTCATGAGCCTTGAGCCTGTGTCCCAATACCCCTCAGTTCTAGGGCAGGGTTTTGGAGCAAGTGTGTCTTCACTCTCAACCCAGGCCTGACGGCTGGTTGGCGAGGGTCTGATTCCCCTGACGTTCTCCACGGTCCCATCCCATTTCTGGCTTTTCAAGCAGGAAGTGGGTAGAAGTTCCACCGGGCCTCGTGCTGGACCTCGGATATCCAGGTGTGATCCTCAGACCCGGGTTCAGAGTGAAGATGCTTTCTGGCTCCTCCCACCACCTTTGTCCCTCCTTGGGGTTCATAGTCCCATTATTTTAAAACATTTATTAACCCTTGGACATTTATCTTTTAATTCTCTTCAACGAAGGCTGAGGAAATCTGTGTATTTTCACCTCTTGCCGCCCCTCTACCCAAATCAGTTCCTGCAGCACTGTTTGATCTCTGCCTGAGGATGCCCCAGTAATGCTGTACCAGTACAAGCCCTGGATTAAAACTCCTTCTCCGAGCCTGTGTCCATCCACCTGTCCAGCTCCCACACCCGCCTCCCACCATGTCTCCCACTCCCCACGGCGCCCGTCCCGTGTGGGGACAGAAGGAAGTGAGCACACAGCACGCCCGCTGTTGGATTGGTTGCTATTTCTCCCGTCCCACGGGGCCCGACCCGGCCCGGGGTGGGGGTGAGGGGCTCTGGGGACAGGACATGCAGGGCTGGGGGGGGACAGAATTTTCCTGTGTTTTATCCATTTGCAACTTGGTCACCAATAGAGAGAAATGGGACTCTGAGGGCTAACAGGAGAGGGTGGCCTGGCTCTGGGCCCCCAGCCAGGCCCCAGGAGTCCTGTTCCCTCCGGGGAGG